AAATGTTCAAAACATTCATGGTGTCACCTAGACAGACACATGTACACAATACAGTTAATGTCACAGGGGTACAGAAAATGTCAGTATCGGTCGTGCCCACCACGTGCATCAATCACCGCTTGACACCGATGATCAAGTTGTCAATAACAAGCTGTTGGATGTGCTGCCATTCATGCTGAAGTGCATCAAGTAGCGCCAGAAGTGTTTGGGGCGGTGGATTCCTTCTGCGAACGCATCGATCCAACTCGTCCCTCTGATGCTCAATTGGGGACAAATCTGGTGACCGGGCTGGCCAAGGTAATATCTGGATGTTGTTGTGCTGTAAGAAGTCCTGACAAACACATGCAATATGCGGTCGAGCGTTGTCCTGCTGGAACTGTCCGCCATGAACGTTGACATGAGGAAGAACGTTAGGCTGTAGGATCAAGTCTCTGTAACGCACACCTGTCAATGCACCTGCAACATGCACGAGAGGCGTCCTACCACCGTGATGAATTCCGGCCCATACCATGACACTCCCGCTGCCAAATTGGACAACCTGCTGCACACAGTTGGGGGCGTAACGTTCACCCCGATGTCTGTAGACACGTGCGCCCATCAGCACGTGTGAGTAGGAAACGGGACTCGTCAGTAAACAGTACATTTCTCCACCTTGTACGTGCCCATCTAACCCTCTGTTGGCACCAAAGCAGACGGTCCGCCAGATGACGTGGGGTCAATACATGACGTCGAACAGGTCTTCGTGCAAAAAGTCCAGCCTCCCTCAGTCTGTTGCGTACCGTTTGATCTGATATTCTGCGTACCCCAGGGATCTGTGTGGTTGTAGACGTGGCTGTGGTAGTGAGGTCTCGGAGGTGTCGCAGCCGGATGTATCGATCTTGTGCTTGGGTTGTCACCCTTGGTCTTCCTGACCTTGGTCTGTCGTCAACTCTGTTGGTGTTGTTGTATCGGGTCCACAGTGCGGAGATTGTCTGTCTGGATATGCCAAAGTGCCTGGCCACTTCTTGCTGAGTTGCTCCAGCTTGTAATCTCCCAATGGCGTTGTTCCGTTGAGCTGCATTCAGTCTTGGCATTCTGTCACCGCCTCTACTGCTATAAGGACTGTATGAACAGCCGTTGATGTGGATTTTTATACCCATTCAGCAGGGGGGCCTGCATGCCTAAATGCAGGATCCTGTGCTGCACGTTTTTTACAGGCGGTTGTGTTTGGATGAAGCTGTAAAATTGATCCCAAAACGCTACGTTTATGTTCTTTGCATGTGTTTTCGCGAAATTATAGACACATCATCTTTCTGTTTGAATTATTTGGTTCTCATTTAATGTAATTATTTTAAATATTTGGCAAAAGGTGGTTTTACATCTATGTCAAGTTTCTTTTTTTGAAGAGTATAGAATGAGTAGCAATCCATGCCATTGGGGTAAACTGACACACAATCGGCCATGTTGCACAATGTAACCTCCTTTCTGGCAAGCATTGGCTACTGAGCCTACTGTACTGTTTGTTTGTTGTTTAACGCCGCACTCAGCAATATTCCAGCTATATGACGGCGGTCTGTAAATAATCAAGTCTGGACCAGACAATCCAATGACTGATATCATGAGCATCGATCTACGCAATTGGGATACGATGACATGCATCAACCAAGTCAGCGAGCCTGACCACCCGATCCCGTTAGTTGCCCTTACGACAAGAATGGGTTGCTGAAGACCTATTCTACCCCGGATCTTCACGGGTCACCCTGTTCAGTAATGATAAACTAACAGAACCCGACCTGCTTCCACAAAGCAATCTTAGAACTACAATGCTCGTGAACCCATGTAAAAGTATGGGAGTTACGATCCCCTCTATGACTGCATCGATCACTTTGTGGACCGGAGCCCTGGTCAAGATTTGTTTAATGTCTACGAGCTAAATCAAAAGACTTCACTGTGTCCAATACTACAAAACACAAGCTCACATGTCAGCTGGCGTTTCATCATTCTTTGTGATGAATGTTCAGCTAAAGAATCAATTGAGAGATAAATATTTCGTTTGGTAAGATTTACGTCATGTTATGCTGGACAGATGTACGGAAATTTCATTTGAACACAACTCTGTTGACGATTTCAAAAATAGTTACATCACTTAATGTTTTCATACATGGTGATAAGAGCTAAAAAATTCAGTGATGTTATGCTCATTCGAGAACTCTTTTTAACCAATCAGAACAGAGAAAATACCTACTTATATGTTACAATGATGAATAACTGTTACTTTTACCTTGTAATTCCCAGATATAAAGTCACAAGGTTCCTGATACTGTCATGGATTAAAAAAAATCAAAATCCTTTTCCTTAAATGAAAATGTCTTGTTGCATGCAAATTATTGCCATGACATAATTTAAATACAGTTCAAATAAAAGTTGAATCTCTATTCCATAAGTTCCAAAAATTGATTCTAGAACAGACTTCAGTAAACACAGTTTTAACAACTGTACATCATAATACATGTCATTGGAAAAAAGTTATTGTGACACATATCTTAGTACCAGGAAGGATATACGATACTCTGGTAGTACGTGCGTGCGTGGCTGCTTGTACTAGTCTGAACTAATGCTGGTTCTTTTGTGCTAGCCCCTTGAGACACCATGCCACAGTTTAACATGGAAACCCCACTTATGCACAGTATACTGACTCTGAGCCGACCAGTCCTTGTTTTAGCTCCTTAACGCTGACCACCAGGCAAGTGAGAAAGTGAGTTGGGTTTAACGCCGCTTTTAACAGTGTTCCAGTTATATGGCGCGTGTCAGCTCAATGTGGGAGGAAAGTCCGAAGTGATGCAGGTCTGAGATGTTTATCACTTCGGTGATACCCACGAGCACGGGTATGGTGCTGACAAACCTCGAAACATAATCGGGGTGAACCGGGATTCGAACCAACAATCATAGGTTTCTGGCGTGCCCAATGACGCAACTCTGCACAGCAAATCGCGGCGCCTTGGATGACTGGGCCACCTGCGTGCCCAGCACCAGGCAAGGAAACAACAAGTACCATCTTTTCATGTCATTGGGTATGCCGCAGACGGGATCGAACCACCAAACTTCTGCTCAGATGCTCTCTCCACTAGACTGCAGTTCTTCCACAAGCGCACCGAGTAGTTTAGTTATGATAATTAACATATTGCCAGCTATTAGGCCGTGACATGCACTGAACAAAGCCAGTAAGTGGAGCATGTTTACATCATAGTTCACGCTGCTTCAGCCACATCACAGCCGCCTGTACACTTCCAACACTGGGACGGCAAACAAGTGCTTACAACATAAGTAACAAAGCAGTTTGGAGCAATGATCAATAAAACAGTTAGAAATTGTGTTGTTCAGAATGTTGTTAATTAATTTATCCCCCATATAAAACATATTTACCAAAAGAAAGAAATATACACTTTTGTGTGAAAGGTCATCAATTTTGCAAACAATTTGAACATTTCAATCAATACTATGAAGTTCTTTGGGAAGAATGTGATTCTGGACCTTTTCCCCAACATGGCACTCTTGAACATAAGTTACAAGTCCAAAACATTCCGATCAAGAAAGCTTAATTAATAAATGTCCATATATTCAGATAAAATCTATTTTTAACAATTCCACAGGACTTATTCGGAAAGCAGACTGAAAGTTTATAGCACTGAATGACATTGTCAAAATATTCACTTAATTAAGTTTCCATAAATATTCATGATATTTAATTAATTCTATCAAAACTATCTGACTATGGCTGGCTCTCCCAGGACCAATGTCAGTTGCTGATGACATAGCATGGCAGGTCAGAAGCACACCATCGCAATGCATCTTCAACAATTCCAGCTGTCACGCCACAGTTACAATTGGCCAGATGGACACTCTCAGTGGTTTAACACTTCATACCATATAAACTGGGTGAGTGGGTGATGTGAGTATGTGAGTGAGTGAGTGAGTGAGTGAGTGAGTGAGTGAGTGAGTGAGTGAGTGAGTGAGTGAGTGAGTGAGTGAGTGAATAACAGGCTGCTTTGACCAGTGATGAGGTTAGGTGAAATGGGGTTTATGCAAGGTTATTGCTCTTCTATACCGACGCACATGCGTGTGTGCGTCTATAGCGATGAGCATGCATGAGTGCGTCCGAAGGTCATGGCATGTTCAACGGTGAGTTGTGCAATCTTCCGATCGCTTCAAACAGGATTTCGCCCCGAAAATAAAATTAATGAAATAAGTTACAAACATAAGTCCAGATAAACAATGAACACTTTTTATAGCCTGACAGTGTAATTACATGATTAATTTGCGTACTTCAGTATGGATTTGTTGACATGGTATTTCTGGTGTTACGTGCTCACGGTAATGTCTTTGTGTTGGGGGAAAACATCAAAACTCATTATGGCATGTTTTATGCCCACCTCCTTCTACACAGCTGTGTTTTTTTTTTAAAAAGTGTGCACTATACTCGAAAATACGGTTCTGTGAAACCAGTGAGTGGTGCCCATGTGACTGACATTAAGAAGGTGGTATCAGTCTACATGCCGCTTCACTTCGCTGAGACATCAAGGGTCATAGTCAGGGGGAATTTTGAGATGAGATCCACATCTGAGAATGGCACTCCCAACCCACTCTCTACACCTTGTATTGTTGTTTGTTTGCTGTTTAACGCCACACTCAGCAATATTCCAGCTATATGACAGAGGCTTGTAAATAAAAGATCCTGGACCAGCCAATTTCATATTGTCAGCAACAATCCATGCTGATTTGTTTGTTATTTAACACCGCACTCAGCTATTTTTCAGCCATATGACAGCAGTCTGTAAATAATCGAGTCTGGACCAGACAATCCAGTGATTGACATCATTAGCATGGATCCACGACATTGGGATACGATGACATGCATCAACCAAGTCAGTGAGTCTGACCACCCGATCCTGTTAGTTGCCTTTTACGGCAAGCATGGGTTGCTGAAGACCTATTCTTCCCCGGATCTTGACTTGGATACTTACCCTTATTACATGCTTCTAGTGCCTCTGTATTTTTTCTCTGCAAACAAACAAGCAGACATAAGTTAACATGTCATGGGGAAAATACTTGAGAAACGGGAACATTGCTTTAATTTAAATCTCAAATGGTTTACGTTGCATGACTCCCACAAACTCTTCACAAACAGGCCAGACCAATCATATTTATTGTGTGAAAGAAGAACCCAGCCTAAATATTTAAAAAAATTCAAATTTTTGTTTAATGGTGTGTTTGGTTGAAAATACCATTTTTAAACATGTTCTTTGTATTCTAGTGACAACCTATATTCTAGAGGATTATAAGTTGATGTATATGTCGTATGTATATGTATATTTCTGATGAATGTAGGTCTCTTTGCCTGATGACCCGACAAGCTCCTTATAAAACATGACAACACAACTGTGTCATGTGTGACACTAGTCGGGAGCATTGCTACAAGAAAACATCAGACACTGCTCTCAAAATATATTAAGGGGAAAATAGTACACAACCAAAAACACAGATGTGAAAGGTAATGATGAAACTGACCAGCAACATATAGAAAAGCTCAGTATTTTCCTTGATACGCCCCCAATGACTGGCAGATATAAAAGCCACTAGAAACTGGAAAAAAACAGGAATTCAAACCAAAGTCTGATCACTGGAAGAAACCCGGAATACTAACTGTTCTTGGTCAATTCAGTGCTGATGAAAAACAGATAAGACTTGTGATGCTGTACATGAAGCATACAGATACAGGTGCGGTTCCTTGACACTCAGTCTTCCCCATCACAATTACATTCTAGGGGAGGTAATTCTTTCTCACCTATGACCAATCATACATAATGATGGACCTACATAACATAAGTTGAAGTTTTAATTGGAATGTTGGATTTTTTCTTCTTTCTAATAACAGTAAGTTTTGTCAAACATCCGTAACCATAAAGTAAAACTTTGGTGAATAGTCCCCAAGTCTTGAAAATCGGTGAAACAGAAATCTTTAATTACACAACAAATTTTCCTCTTTTCAAATATGGTTTCTGATGCTAATTTATAGCTTGCTAAGTTGCCTATTTTTAACATCTTGACTGATTTTTATCAAATTACATGCAGATATTCCAGGATCGAGTGTGGAAAAACACGAGGGATTCTAATGTTTCCATTCACCTAAGGGCCCAGCCTCAAAAGGCTATATATGCTACTCCACTTTCAGTAGGGATATTTATGTCTTTCCATCATACCCAAAATAAATTGCTATATGCCAAGTGTATATTTAAATAGAATGACATGTCTGATTATCCCTAGCAAAAGTTTGGTAGTACATATAAATTTAGACAATTTGTAAAACAAAGAGCACAAGAAAACTTTTGATGCAATGCATCAACATGCCGGCAAACTCTTTGTTCATCAAATCATATTTACTATAAAACAATTCCCCAAAATATTTAATCAACACAGACATGTTTAAACAATATGAACCATATTGGTTTCAATGCTTTTCTTGTTTTATATCTACCATGTTTTTGACGGCTAAGCAGTTACCTCCCTTAAATACTGAATTTGAAAAACAATGTCTTCCCACAGTAAATGAGCGCAGTTGCCTCATTCCGCTTGTCAGGAACCATTATTGCGGTAAACTTTCCAATACGTCTCATGCATTTCAGGGTTTACATAAACTACAACTGAACAACTAACAAAATGTTCACAATTTTACGACAAAATGTGACATTTTAAAAAGATTTGTTTATTGTACCCATGTGGCAATGTTTCACATATTTCAATTACCCATAAGTCCCAAAGACTTTTCAGAAAACAATTGCAAATAGAAAAAAAGTTATTCAGAATTTCACATCAATACAGACACATTTAAAAGAAAAAAATACTCGTTCGAATGTAATATTCGTTAACTAGTTCCACTTTTATATGTTACAGTTTCACTATTGTTTTTGTTTCATATGTGGTTACCTCCCCTACTGAGTTCATTTACACCGTTTGAACCACGTGGAATAGAAGCAGTAGACTATTCGGGTCTTCTTTTCATTATTGTGACATAGTTTCTAACAGATTATATTAATTTAAGGGTTATGTTAAAAATAAAACAGAACAACTAACAACATAATATGAAAGTGTAAAACACATATACCAAAGATTAATTGTGACATCCAATTGTAGACAAAATTAGAAATGCATGAATATCCTAACCCCCCATCGAGTTTTAACAGAACAATTACAAATTGACCACGACCAAATGGCCACCAAGGAATAATTGGTTTGACCTTGTTTGTATCATATGGTCAGTCAGTCTTTTCTTGAGCTCCAGTTGTCTTTCTATTGACTTGATGTGTTCCGAGAACATGACAGGTCAGTTGACAGTAGAGCTCCATGGTTGAACTGAGCAACAGGTGGCTAGACCATCTGTACCAAACCACGCTGAGCTTACCTTTGCGGGTCCTAGTTTCCTTACCTAGAAGTCATGTCGGAGTTGAATAAATCAAGCATGAAATACTCATATCCCCTGCTAATATGACATGTCTAGTTGTATGCAAGGCAAGAAATATTGAACAGTTTTAAAGATCTGATCTGCTCCGGAAAGGAGCACTACCACCATTTTCAGATTAAGTCAAAGTTGTTGCTGTAGAAACTAAAAAAAATAATTTGTTTTTCTAAAAATCCCCAACTTTCAAAAGGCACCAGTTTACAACTAGACCTATCTATGTGCCAAGTTTGTTGAAGAAATATTGTACGGTTTTAAAGATCTGCTCCGGAAAGGAGACCTACCACAATTTTCAGTCTAAGTCGATATGTGTATGTGTGACTCATCGAGATGTGTGACTCGACAATATGTGTGACTTAACGATATGTGTGACTTGAACGATACTTGTGACTTTACAATATGTGTGACTTAACGATATGTGTGACTCAACGATATGTGTGACTTAATTACATGTGTGACTCAATGATATGTGTGACCTAATGATATGTGTGAGTTAACGATATGTGTGAGTTAACGATATATGCGAGTTAATGATATGTGTGACTCAACGATATGTGCTAAAATAACTAAAGGCTCGCCACCATCTACATTTTAATCTTTGTTTCTTGCAAATAGTGTCAAATCAATAAAGCATTAACCTTGAGCTTCTACACACACATGGTCCTGCATGCTGTGTGAAACTCCTAGTCTAATTTACTTGTACCAGCTGTCTACACTGATGAGACTCTAGCAGTCTTAAATTGGATTCCAAGTCAAATTAAGTCGTATGCATGCTGCTTAGAAGGTGGGTTGGCAAACTCTCTAGCATACCATGCACCTCCTGTCCGAGACATGACTTCCATATCTTGCCCTTATCAAGTTCACTTCTATGACAACCGCCTCCGTGGTCTTGTCCTAGAGCGTCCGCCCGGAGAGCGGAAGGTCCAGGGTTCGATCCCGGGCCGCGTCATACAAAAAGACGTTAAAAGATTGTACTTGTTGTTACCCTGTCTGGCGCTCGGCATTAAGGGGCTAAAACAAGGACTGGTCGGCTCGGAGTCAGTATACTGTGTCTGAGTGGGGTATTCATGTTAAACTGCGGCATGGTATCTCAGTGAGCTAGCACTATAAATCGGCATCAGTCCGGACTAGTACAAGCAGCCACACACACACATACACGTGCATGCACGTCGCTATATAAGTGCAATAATCTTGGACGCGACGTTAAACCCAATTTCACCTCACCTCACCTCACTTCTATGACAAGAAAATATTTCCCAAGTCTCAGGATTGTAGTTGTTAAATGGTTGCAATAATGACGATGTGACGTTACATTTTAACTCACTCACTCAAATATGTACTGTACTCTACTGAGTTGTGTTTTAACAGTATTCCAGTTATATCACGTCATGTCAGCTTAATGTGGAAGGAAAGCCCAAAGTGATGCAGATCTTAGACGTTTACCACTTCGGGGAAACCCATGACCACGGGTTTCGTGCTGACAAACCTAGAAACATAATCAGGGCGAAATGGGATTCGAACCCACAATCATAGGTTTCTGTTGGCCCAAGGGACTCAACTCTGACCAGCGAATTGTGGCGCCTTAGACGACTGGGCCACCCGTGCCCCCCTCAAGTAAAGGAACCACAGTAACTCACTGACTGCCATGGAATAACATTCATGTTTCACAATACCCTCCTGTTTGGCCTTGACCTTTGAAAGACTAACCACCAACATTTCAACTAGTCCATGACTGTATTTTATGAAACCACACTTATCTAGGTTGCACAAAAGCTAGTCTAGCCAGCTCTGTTCCAAATAAATCAGCATCATCAAAAGAATTCTTTCTTTAAAGTAGAGAACTATATTGTTTAATAAATGATTTCAAGGACTGTTAACATTAAGTCAACATTTCAACTTGTGGTAGGACTTGTAAGGATATATGCATGTATATAGTTCCATGACTGAGGCAAGCTTCTTGACAGAAAAGAACCATAAGGGCTGCTAATTATGTGAGTGTTCATGTAAAAGCAGACAGGTGAGATGTATAGCTCCCTCAACAGAGTTTCAGAGGTGAGGTGAAATGGGGTTTAATGTCGCGTCCAAGATTATTGCACTTATATAGCGACGTGCATGTACGTGTGTGGCTGCTTGTACTAGTAAGGACTGATGCCGATTTATAGTGCTAACTCACTGAGATACCATGCTGCAGTTTAACATGAATACCCCACTCAGACACAGTAAACTGACTCCGAGCCGACCAGTCCTTGTTTTAGCCCCTTAATGCCAAGCACCAGACAGGGTAACAACAAGTATCATCATCTTTGGACGTCTTTTGGTATGACATGGTTGGGGATCGAACCCCGGACCTTCTACTCTCCGGGCGGACGCTCTACCACAAGAAACCAGAGGCAGTCCGGAGTTTCAGATAGTGTTTATTGTTAATTACACAATCTTGACGAAGACTATCACTATCAGGTGAGATGTGAACTGAGATAATGGCAAGGTCACTTCAGATAGAAAGACTTGTTCATAATTACCTGCTGCACATATTTCAATATATACTGTATTTGAAAACAGAAAAGTATATACTTTTTTCTATTTTCTCTATTTCTAAAGACATCTTGAAGCCCGAATAGTTACATGAATTCATAAAACATTTGTATTTAGATTATTGACTGGAAAAGGACACTCAGTCCTAGTGGACAGTAGAAATATAGCAAACATATTGACCTGCAAGCATTATCTGTCCCCAGTAATATACGTACTGACCTGTAAGAACTATCCGACCCCAGTAATATACATACTTACCTGTGAGCATTGTCTGTCCCCAGTAATATACATATTGACCTGCAAGCATTGTCTGTCCCCAGTAATATACATACTGACCTGTAAGCATTATCTGACCCCAGTAATATACATACTGACCTGTAAGCATTATCTGACCCCAGTAATATACATTCTGACCTGCAAGCATTATCTGACCTCAGTAATATACATTCTGACCTGTAAACATTATCCGACCCCAGTAATATACATACTGACCTGTAAGCATTATCTGACCTCAGTAATATACATACTGACCTGTAAGCATTATCTGACCTCAGTAATATTTATTCTGACCTGCAAGCATTATCTGACCCCAGTAATATACATACTGATCTGCAAGCATTATCCGACCCTAACAGTATACATTTTGCCATGTAATCATATCTGAAACTAGTAGTAAACGAATTGACCTGTAAGCATAGTAGTACATAGTTAATTCAGGTAATGTTGAAACTGAAATAGGATTTTTATGAACGTTAAATTCCAAGCAGGGATTTCCATTCAAAAATATAAATCTAGAGTAGTGAGTGAGTGAGTGAGTGAGTGAGTAAGGTTTTACAAAACAGATGATCATGTGAAACGTAAAAACAATACCCCAACAGATGATCATGGGATACGTAAAAACAATACCCCAACAGATAATCATGGGAAACATAAAAATGAAACTGTCAGTATGAAGTAATTATGTCTGACAGCTTCTTCATACAAAATCATCGAAAACACTGAGACAAAGGCGACTCACCTGCTTTATAAATGCATTAACATTGTTGATGACGTCCCCTAGTTCTTCGTTATGTTCACAGGTATCGTTAGAGTTTGCCGTATCATGATTGGTTGGTTTTCTGTCGGCCTCAGACGTGCTGTCAGCCATCCCCTGTCACATGACTTGGACAAACCATGGGGAGGTACTAGTGTGGGCATTTACCTGCAAACAAACATCAGATCAGTGACATCACAGTGACATGTCGGGAACATACAGCAAAGTCTTACAGCCAATAGCAAACCATAACAAATAGCAACAGTGTTTCAGTCGGACGGTACATGTACAGGAGACATCATATCATCGGTAATCAACAGATTCTAGTGGTTTCTCTGACTTAAATCATGTAATAGATGATATATACTTCACAACCGTTCATAGGGATAATCAGACATGTCATTATATTTAAATATACTTGACATGTGATGAGAATCAGTTTTGTGTATCATGGAGTGAGTGAGTGAGTGGGTTTAACGCCGCTTTTAACAGTATTCCAGTTATATCACGGCGTGTCAGCTTAATGTGGGAGGAAAGCCCGAAGTGATGCAGGTCTCAGACGTTTACCACTTCGGTGAAACCCACGAGCACGGGTATGGTGCTGACAAACCTAGAAACATAATTGGGGTGAACCGGGATTCGAACCCACAATCATAGGTTTCTGGTGTGCCCAAGGGCCGCAACTCTGCACAGCGAATCGCGGCGCCTTAGACGACTGGGCCACTAGTGCCCCCTGTGTATAATGGAAAGATATAAATATCCAATATATTTTTTATGTAAGCTTCTTGTGATATTTATGTATAATTGATATAATTTATGGCCGTTGCTATTTTGTTGTAATTGTTTCAGGGCCATTTCTTCATTTCTCCATCTCTAAATCTGAATAAACTGATAACAACCCCACAGCAAGTGGAATAGTATACAATTTCTCTATAGTTTTGCATTATGATCAATAGTGTGTTAAGTTTTACTTGTATATTTTTTGTTCAGAATGGCCATTGAATTCCTGACTCAGAATCAACTGCAACAACAGTGTGACATGTTAATAATTGTATTAAATACAGGATACTGAATGATATTAAAATAACACACAGGAATTTCCGTTCTAAAAATACACGGGAACTGCAGATAAAGTAAAGACTATGGTCGTTTTGTGTTTATTGGGGCAGCTGCAGTGTATAGAATTGACAAATGGACTGGCAACTATGCAAAGTTACCAGACTGGACATAATGTTGCCAGTACAGAATTTTCTTGACGAACAAACAAAAATAACAAAGGGATAAACATAAAAAAAATACTGTTTAATGTAATTCCTCAGAAAATAGCAATAAATTGGTGGATTGTCTCCTAAGTAACTTTAACTCTTTGATATTTTATTCATCAATAATATGTTTAACGTTTACTGTTCATTTACCACTTACACTGAATTAAAACTAGAATGCTTAGATACCCTTAGTGAATACAATAATAGCCCGATCATCAGGCGTGCAACATTGATCGTCTGTCAGCCAAATAGACCATCTCGGACTGTCAGGCAGATGGGTATTTTAACACTGGTAGATGTATCAATCTTTGTTACCTTGTCAGAACGACTCACAGGCCTGATAGTAGTATTCAATGTGGTGAGTCTGAAGGACATATGGTGCATGGAGCGGTCAGCTGGGGGCCATCCAAAACAGGTTCAATACCAACTGTTACACGAATAAAGTGGCCTCATTGTATCCGAGTTGGATTCTATGGAAATTATTCTTATTTGAAAAATATAGTAATGTCCAGTATTTCTTGCGGTGCCAGTCTCCATGACTGGCAGACATAAATCCACCACAAACACTGAGTAAGATATTTCAAAGTTTGATGATGTCTAACATGTCTAATACAGCAAATAGTCTGATATGACAGTCTGCTAAAACAAACTGTCAATTAAAATTGAACTTTGAATGAAAGCATCATGAAAGACCATGTGCAACATGCACACAACTGAAGTCCTGTCACGTAAGATTGAACAACCTGTCATGACCTGCCCCAGTGGCTCAGTGAGAATACAGTAGGTTACAATACTTAAAACCTATGTGAGGTTGTATGTTTCATTCATATCACAGAATTTTTATGTGAAATTGTTTTTGGTGACTTAACTAATCAAAAATCAATAATAGATTCACATCAAAGGCCTGCTTATAAAAATTCAATTGCAAAACCTAGGTCTTACAATTCAAGTGTTAAACCTCAAAGGAGGTCACACTTGAAAGTAGTACCTCTAACAAGGTTATCGATGAGATAGGACGACACCTCCAATACAATAGGCAATAGTGACAGTAGGTTTATAAGATTCAATTAGCACTATAAGATCACTTTGTGCAACGTGGCCCTAGCAAGCTTTGGTGACACTATTGCTATGTAAAAGTTAAAACAGTCACAGCACTATAATCATTTTGTCGAATGGGACCAGCCTATTAATTAAGATTAAGAACATCACAAGCTATTATTTCAAATCAATATTTTCCATGGATTTAAATATAGAATAGCATGTAACTTCCATCAGAAGCATCTCTGTTTCCACCACAAGCAACACCACTCAACCTCTCAACAAGGAAACTCTCACCAGTCCATCCCACATCGAACTGATGTTTGTTTGTTGCTTAACGCCACAATTGGCAATATTCCAGCGATATGACGGCGGTCTGTAAATAATCGAATCTGGACCAGACAATCCAGTGATTAACATATTGAGCATGGATCCAAGCAATTGGGATACGATGACATTCATCAACCAAATCAGCGAGCCTGACCACCTGATCCCGTTAGTCGCCTCTTACGAAAAGTCACCTTTTACGGCAAACATGGGTTGCTGAAGACCTATTCTAACCCATATCTTCACGGGATCTAACTGATGAAGCTCATAACATACTTAATTAGAACACCAACATCCTTATCAAAAGTTGTGTAGCCGGTGAATGAATGTGTACAACGTTGCTTTAACTGTGCAGCAGGAGTTATACCATCACAGAAGTTGTTTTTTGTTTAATGCTGCACTCAGCAATATACCATCATTGCCATACAATCAACCAAATCCACCTCGTCTGACCGCTGATCCATTAAATTGCCTCTTATGACCTGCTTAAGTTGCCGGGGACAACTCCGACCTGGAATCCACATCAGTTTGAAGTTGTGGTAAATGGGTTTGAAGCCAAGATAAGTTTGTACTCTTCACTCCATAGCATTGATCACATGCACACTTAGGACAAGAGCTTGAGTATACCGACCCATGCTGGCAGTCACCAGCTGTCAATCATACACGTTTGTATGGCATACATGTCTCATTCCGTCAAGTCAATAATATATTTCAACACGCATCATGCATATAGCATTCTAATTTCATGCCAGTATCCTATTCCAATACACAATGGATTGATATTTAATACTTATATACTTGATGCTCTTCAAACAGAAGTCGAAATGTTTCTGGTGACCTAGAAATTTACAGTACTGAGTGACATGAGTGCTGAAACAAGCGTGGTTCTACACCACTTGAACATTTTCAAGCAGTATTCCATTTGTGTTCATCCTGGATTTTCTCAGAAAGAGATACAGATTTACTAAACATTCAACCTTGTCCTAGTGTGTGAATTAACATTTATAGTCATGTCAGCAATATTTCAGCCACATTGTGCCAAGGCAAAGTAATATACATATACATTCTACAAACTGTCATCAATGGGCAGCAAAATAACTAGTATCATAGATTTGCATTTAACCCTCTTGGGGCAACGGGACCATATATGGTCCCTGACTTTTTAACACTTCCTTAGTGCCATGGGACCATATGTGGTCCCGTGAAAATGTCCTTTTCAACTGTGAATTAAGATGTCAAACAGGGAGTGTGCAAAATCAAAATCATAACCATCATCACGCCAATCTTGTCAGGTTTAACATTGTGTTACTAATATTTTATACAGCGCTACGGATTGCGAAATATGGTGAGATTAGTAAAGTGGTTACCGCGTTTCTCGACCTTTTTCTGCAATGTTTGAACTTTGAACGAATGACAGCAAATTTTGATTATGCACCCATGTCACATACACGTTACTGTTCAGAAATCTGATCAGACTGGTCAGAAAGATTTACTTTTCCCCACTATACAGTTATTGGGGTAAGACTACAGATGTTTAGTCTGCAACGGACGTTTATTGTTCAAATATTGCATATTTTTATCCACTGTGTGTCATGGCGATTTAGCATGGTTATAGAGACAAAACAACAGTGCAGATCGTCGTTCTGTTTATGAAGCTGATTTACAGAAAATATTGAAATCTAAGATATGTCAAGATAGCTATGATTGTTAATTTTAAGTGGTATAGTGTATATTTATAGGCAGAAACTTCATGATCAACACGTAAACACTGAATGGCCAAGCCCGCAGTGATCAACAGGGCACATTCACATCATAGCTGTGCCCTGATTTCTTGTCTACCAGTAGTCCTACATGCTAGCTCATTTTGATGCTGCTTTTTCCATATGAAATGACTAAGAGTCATGTGTGATTGCTCCAACTACCTGACCGTGCAAATGAGTGAGTGAGTTTGGTTTTACGCTGCTTTTAGCAATATTTCAGCAATATCACAGCGGGGGACACCAGAAATTGGCTTCACACATTGAACCCATGTAAGGATTCGAACCCGGGTCTTCGGCGTGATGTGCGAACGATTTAACCACTAGGCTACCCGACCGCCCCTCACCCTGCGAATGAATTACCCTGACCGTTTCACATTTTGCTTAAGAGGAGATTTCAAAAGAAGTGTCGCCACATCTAAACTTGAGTTGACACCTTATTGTAAACAAATTGTTCACATGTGGTACCTTGGCCCCAGTTTCTGGTACACACGATACCAACGTAAAACAAATACTGAAAACATCTGCATAACTTCTAAACTGATGACAGCAATACCTTCTTGGTGGGTTAACCACATGTGGATACGATGTGCTGTACGATTTCTACTTGTTTTTCTTTTCATTGATACTGAGATAATTGTGCTATGTGTTTGCTGAAATAGTATTTTCCGAATTTTTCCGTGTGTCTAATGTACATGTACCATGCTGTGCAAGAAAATTGTACAACTAATTGTGTATGTAAATATAATATCAAATATCAATATAAATCATAACACGATGT